TACGATTACAAGAAAAGGGGATACAAAATTCCATGACGTACAAAGTTCCGAAAAATCTTTTCATTTAAATGAAATCAGTTGCCAGAAAACAGATAGTTTATCAACTGGAAGAGAAAAAAAAACAGTTGTAAAGATTGGATCTGTATTTCTGCTTTTTCTTGTCGTGGCAAGGATAAATTTTTCTGCTATATGAACAACGAAATTCAAAATCTAATGTGTTCCAAAAGAGAGGAACAGTGAACTACAAACGCACTCACCTCAGGCTACAACTGATTTCAAACGATTGAATCTTTGCTGAACAACATAAAATAGTACCTTCTTGGTTTACCTGGAAACTTCTGCAACATATCTCGTCATACAACTCTATTTGATTTTGGCCAGATTATCCACTCCAATAAGATATCCAAGTTAAAGTTTCGAAGTTCATGAAGAACTGTTTTATTAAACTTAAAGTCCCTAAAACAACACTTTGGATTTGCCGGAATACCTTTCAATCCATGTCACTCGTATTTTATGCATAACTCTGTATTCTGTTCACTGGAATCTTAAAAAAAGAACAAACAGAAACACGCTAATAAATCGCTGAACAATGAACAAACAGGAACAGCAGTCGATTCCAAATTCGAGAGAGCAAAACAAGTAATTAAATAAGATTTTCTTACAAATGTCAGCCGTTTTCTTTTTTAGCAGTTATTGGACCTGTTACTGTTAAAGTAAACATTATGCTACGAACGTTAAACAAAATCGATGTTGTAAATATGGCAGGTCCTTTTTTTAAAAATTGATTTTTGTCAAGTCGAAAACGAAAATGCATAAGATGCACATAAATTAAGGAAAAGAATACCGATATGTAGGATAAAGAACAATTAAAACTAGCGGAAATAAAGTTTCTATTTCTTCCACAAATTGAGAAACTTATTGGAAGCCGAAAACTAGAAGGCTAAACAATAGAAAGCTGAAAAACAGATATTAATTTCAAGGTTGCTATGTCATACTGAAATGTAACATCTAGCTTTCAAAAATTATCAGAGATATGTTGCAAATGTCTTTCTCAATCTCTGAGAAATGTTCAAGGTTAAAAAAGTATCAAGTTTGAAGGCGTGTGGGATATCTAATGATGTATCCAGAACTACTTTTGGCCATTGCAGAAATCTGTTTCTACTAAATTAATCACTGTTCGATTTTTTCTTAAATTTAGTTGGAATTACAGTTCTATTTGCAATTGCAGAAATACAACATGCAGGTGACGTTCAGGGAAAAATGACTTAATGTAGGTTAGCTTATGAAAACATGTAAATTACCAATATGCCTGATTTCCTTACGGTTTCCCATGTCAAAAACAATATTTGGATGTCTGATTCATTTTTTCCGATATGTAAACAACATAGAAAAATTCCCTTGTTTTACAAATGTACATCTTTTTACAAAAATGATTCCTAAAATATAATACCTCAAGACGAGTTACGAAATGAACAAAGACTGCTGCCTGATTCATTGGGTAATTCGTAAAACTATTCTGAATGCATTACTCTGAATGCGCTATCTAGAAAGTATCACGAACTTATTTCAGACTGAAAAAGCAGCACACAGTCATCACATGATACAAAAAACATGTTTTTGAGTATATACCTGAATGGACAGATACTGTATAGCGTGCGATTATCATTGACGCTATCATCCCCAATGCATTAGAACCTTATCCCTTCGATGTGCAATACTGTGATTTCGATTTAACCAGCTACGCCCACACTGTTATCATATCCTTTCTTTTCTGTTCGAAAATCATTTTTGAATTAATGCAACAATTCAAGTGTTAAGCATGCTTTTGATAAAGGAAGGAAATTTCTTTTTTGTATAAATTGTATTGAAAACTTCTGTAAACTTCGTGGAATTCTTCTAAGTTCATTGATTTGCACAATTTTCTGTTTGTACAAGTAAGTTTATAAACTGAATCCTATTTCAGCACTGGTTGGAAGTAAAAATAAGTTATCCTGCCTAAAATACTCTTTTTACGCCAAGAACATAACCTTTTTTTTATTTGGAAAGCAGTATAATTAACAATAAAAGTAATAATGGATAACAATGTAATCAAAAATTGAAAAAATTGCGAAATAGAAAGTATTGAAACATTTTTTTCGCAACACTGGGAAATTGCAAAATAGAAATTTAAAATTCACAGTAAAGAAGAGCGCATTAAGTATTCAGTGGAAATCTTATTTAGCAATGATAATCCTTGAAAAATCTTCGGATTATCAGGATATTGTATATGAATGAGAAAGAGGAGGACCGCCAGTGCAAACAAAGCTTGGTGTTGGCAGTGATCTATCTAATCTTTTGATTATAGCTATAGAAACGAACCATGAATGTACCAGTCACACTAATACAGGTACTTCCTACTTTCGCATAATTCGTTACCAGTTAATCATTACAGCGTTTCTTCTAGCTTGTAATGCAAAAGTACCTCACGCGATCGTGCACCCTCTTCAAGGATTTTGTGATGGCATCTTTTAAACCAATGCTTTCATCAAGCCTGCGGTGAGACTGCCAAATCTGCGTAGTAAGCTAACATCAACCTCCTCCCTCTGGTCTTGTGATTCCAAAATATAGAATCCTTATTTATATTTCGTCAACCCTGCTGTCTCTTTCACAGAATGATTTTCTAGGGATTTATTATCGCTTAAGTTTTTAAGCGGCCTATGAAATTTACATTATGGATTCCTGAAAAGTTCATGACTATCCCCAAAATTTCAGGAACCTATGCTTGTTTAAGGATGCGTCTCGAACTCTCGCGTCAACTCAGGTCAAATTTTTATTAATTTTAAGCTTCAGTTATTTGAAAGACTTCGCCAAAAGTCTAGAATGAGAGAAAAGCATTTTTTAGGTTCCCTTAAAAACCACTAATTTGTTTCATCTTAGGTGGGGTCAATGTATTCTTTATTTCTATATTAAAAGTTTCCATTAAAGAAGCCAAATTAAAGCTAGCTTATTAATATACCTTAACATTAATTGGTCACTTAAAAGATTCTATTTCTTAATCTACTGCATCCAAGAAAAAAATCTTTTCAGCTACTACTTAATCCAACTCTATGGTCCAACAACAATGATTGTGATCGTCAGCTGGATGAGCTTCTGGATTGACATACACTCCACAGCAGGCCGTACTGCCCTAGGCGTCACTACTCTGCTCACAATGACAACACTGGTAAGCTAGTCTTTCATGTACTGAGGTGGAAAATTCTGTCCACCGCTGGAAGACGTTTGATTTAATATTGGAACTCAATTCAGCTGTCAATTTTATTAATTAATATTTGATGTTCCTAATTATACTAGCTTCTTAAACTTTTTGTATAAGATTGCTTTGCCGCAAGGATCAAGATTCAAAATTGGAAAGGAAAGAAACAATGGTACTTTCCGTCTCTTGTAAATTTAAACGCTTCAGTTAGATGAAGCTCAAGTAAAGTTCAAAAACTGTCATAACTCGTTACTTTCGAAAATGAAAAAACATTTCGGACTTCATTTATTAATACAAAGTTGCCTCCAGTAAGCTATGTAAAAGTGGTGGACGTTTGGCTAGGTGGTGAGATATCATCTATTTTTTTGCTCGCCAACACCGAGTTTCTAAAAATTATTTAGAAATCAGCCACTAATCAAAAAAAAATTTTCAAAAATGAAAATCCTTAATAAGTATATTACGTGAATGATAAACACTTAAATTTATAGGAAGAAAAAATTCGTATATAGGTTTCGGCTTGTCAAACATTCGTATTTGGAGCACTTCTAGAATATGCTTTCGTCTCTTATCAAGATAACTGTATTCAAGAGAAGAAAAATTGTACATCAAGAAAAGGATGTCGAAGAATTGATAAACGAAGTATTGGAAATCAAAAAACCTACCAGCAACAATGTACCTGTTATTTGGTGAGCTGATAGAGATTCTACTGAGAATAGAAAACAGAAATTAAGAGCTGTGAATTAGAAACCTCAATTTAAATCTAAATCTGAAATACAGTTCCCATTAAGCAACAGTCTATCGGCACCGTTAAAATTCGAAACTTCATGAAAATAATAAACATGGCCACGAGGAAGTGAGGTAAGGAATTAAAAAAGGGAGAAAAGCTGAGATTTTCGAAAACTTACAGATCAATCTCCCACTAAATAAATATCTTATAAAATTTAACTCTTGAAGAATTAACTTTCCGGAAATATTTGAATCCAGTGTCTCTTGCAGTTATCAGTGCATCCAAGTGAAAGAGTAGTGGATGTATCAAGCAACTTTTCATGAGGCCTTCTTATTTTCCATCTAAAATTGATTTCTATGCCCGATCTTGTGTACGGATTTCATTTACTATATTAACATTATCTACTGGACGGCATGCTTTGTCATAAGTCTGTATGTGACCCCAAAAACTGATTTTTTAAAACCTACCTTCGTGGAGTAAAATCATAAAATCAAAAAACGCAACTGAAGAAAAATTGGAATTTGAATTAACAAAATCAGTGGGTCTATCCAACTACGTGTTATATAATTTTCAGCGTTAAGTTCACTGTTGTATAAAAAATAACAGTAAAAAGATTTATCGCAAATAATCAACCTTTTTGTATGGCCTACTAGATATTCCGACCCGGATACTTATCAAGAATGAGGTGTAGGATAACAAGCAAAAAAGAATAGAAGTGAGGAAAACGAAAAGAAAGAGAATGAAACACAATAATTATTACAAGTATCATTATGAATTGTTTGTTTGAACTGTCAAACATTCTTCTGCAATCTTGAATTTCACTACTTTAGCTCTTAGCTTAAACAATTTATGGTGATGCAAAACATCTCTTTAACTCCATCAGTTCAATGATAAGGGAGTCCCTTATCTTTCCTATTTCTTCAAATAAAGAGAGTTTTTAACCTGACTACACTCTTCTCATGATTATATCTAAGCATTCAGATACCTCCAGTTTTATTGGCCGGTTTTTATATGAATTAACTTGTACTGTTTTAAAATTACCTGCATACGGTGGCCATGCAATCACGACACCACCACCAACAGTCTCCCTTTCCACCATCTTTGCTGCTATGACTAATATCCTGTGTTAAGCTTTCATCGCCACTGGCGCAACTTCTAAGTCCATCATTTGTAAATGGTGCACTACAGTCTTGGCACTTCATTACCGTTGACTTTGTTGCTGTTGTTGCTGCTTCTGACATTGATGTCATTATTTCAACATTTCTAGTCCTTCTAGTTTATTAATTTCATTTGTCGGGATCAAAACGAACAACTCCTGGATTTCGCTGATATACTTTCAGCAATATCTGCAAACATGAACAGTTACTAAGTTCCCATGGGGCACAGAATTGGCATATATCAACTTTCCAATACAATAACTTCAAATAAATAGTGAATCTACAATTTTATATAAAAGACAACTTTATTATACAACCCTTCTCATCTTCTCGAATGACTTGGACTTCAAAACAGATCAAATTAAAGTCAACATGAGGGACAGAGCAACCATCGTATTTAGAATACTGTTCTTAAATAAACATCAAAAATATACTAACCAGTTTTTGAAAGAAAGCCTTAAACCTTGCTGTAAGATCAATTTAGAACGAATACAATTTTGATCAGTGAAATTATTCTCTCAAAAAAATTTAGTACATTGCAAATCCTTCTACATTTTATTGTTACATCAGTTTTTGAGAATTAGTCTGAAAATTTTCTTGTCTTAAACAAAAAGAGAACGAGTAAAATGTCAGTAATATCACTACGTATGTTTTTCGAACAAATCTCATAATTTACCAAACTTTATATCCCTGATAAAGAGTAAAAGATGAAGGTGGGCCAAGAAAGCAAAAAGCACCTTCTTCCTGTAACATGAGTTTTTGTTCAGCATTCTTAGATAAAAAAAACAAAAGGCCAAGGAGGAAACACTAAATACGTCATAACCATTCATTCATGGAAGCATTCAAGAAACTAATTCATTTTCATTTTTCACTAATATTTAAAAATGATTTAACTGGTGGAACAGCCCAAAACATGATCGGACCAAAAGGAAGAAACGAATGATTACGAGTCAATAAGTAAATTTGAAGCATCTCTGTGGTAAGAAATCAGTTCAGAATAAAAAGAATGCCAGAAAAGAAGCATTCTAGAAGAACCTCCAAACTACAGAAATCTCAGAAAAAAAAAACGAAAAGTACCACACATCTTCTAAGTACCGACCGCGAAACAGTGCAAACAAAACTATATTTGCGAATATTCCCTCCTCATGGTATGCGCTCTGAAATTCGATACGTCTCAAACGATAGCGGTGTTACGGACTCTTCCACACGACATCTCTCAGAGTTAGCAGGTGTCACAAATCTTCTACACCTTTATCTTCTGCTGGCATTCATGATTAGTAACTGTAATGAATTTACATAAACATTTCTCTAGATATACGTACTATAATCTCTTCCTCGCACTCTTACCAGCTCAGCTTCATTCGCCAACTTCATTCATCATCCTTTCTTTGCTAGATGGGAAAACCATATCCAACTTAATATTATGATAATGCAGTTCACTGTGAAATCCTAAATTTATTTGCTTTGAAAGTATGAATATTATTCAACATATCAAAATTTATTGCAAAAGCTATACATAAATTACTTTGACATAGGAGTTAAATGTGGTACTAAAAATCCAATATTATGGAACATAGTGTTGTCGCATAAAGTAATGCAAAAAGCTCATTATGTGAAGCAACTACTTCAAAAAACGTAAGAGTAAGAAAGGGACTAAACATAATCATGATTAGATCAAATATTTCCTTACATTATCTGAATGGAAAAAAATTACATTTATTTGTGGAGTAGGACATTCTACCAAAATAACTGAATCTGCAGATAGTAGTGGAACCAACTTGCTATTATTTATACTTAACTCCCCTGAAATGACCATAATAAATTGTCCATTCTTTAATTCCCTAAGATCCCATCTTTCAAACTGCAATAATAACTTGCTTATCGTCGCCTCAATTCCCTCCTCATCTATGAAGTGATATTCTAAGCAGTGTTGAAAAAATGTTGAATGCTGACAAACGCAGTTAAGCGAAGAATGGAAAAGAAGATCGACCTTTCGAGGCAATGCAAAATTATACATGTAAATCGATAGCATGAATAGAAGCTAGAACTCCAAACGCTTTATATTGTGCAATGCATGGAATAAGAAATAATCCTTCTAGGCAGTAAAGACGGTAAAAAAGACTGATTTAAATTATGAATGAATGATATACGTACAAGACCTCAAATCATAAGTAAAAATACGTTGAAGGTACGACAAATTCAAAAGCAAATGAAGCGATAAAAGAAAATCAGCGACCGATTTTCTTCTCTCCGGAGTGGAAGCGATAAGGGAGGATGAAAGTTCACGAGTGATGCTGATTACAAAAACCACCTGATTCCAATATGCCAGGAGTTACTGAATTATTTTGAAATACTGAAATACTTTATAATACTGAAATTACTAGCAAAAGTAACAAACTAGTATCTTGGTAAATGACAGTTGTTGAAAAAACGGATTGGACGTTGATTGTACATATTGAAATATGAGATTACTAAGCGTAAAAATAGTAGTATTAGTACCACAATTACAACTATCACAACTGCGCCTCCTATTCTGTAATTGAAAGAAAGAATCAACATCGTAATTTTTGATTACGGCTTTTTTTTAGAATTCTAAGATAGCTAGGGTTTAAGATAGCGAAAACAAGTGTTAAAGCAGTAATTAGTGGAAAAAATTTTTTTAATCTTTTCATTTCCCGAATGGACAGTCCCCTTGATAAAATATATGTTAGCCTTGTCAATTTTTTGTTCGGATAAATCCCTCGAGAAAAAATTGGGAACTAGCATGAAGAAATACGCTGTGTGACTTTATGATTTCTTCTTAACTTGATGTTTTTGGGTCTCATTGTAATAAATATTTACTTAAGGATGACAAAGAGCAGTGATACGCCAATCCACTACAGTTCCAGCAGTATCAGGAAGACATAGTATACTGTACGCAACGGAAGACACTGCGATAAAACATAAAAGTGAAGCATGGTAGTGAACTAGGAAACTGTTAGAAGGCATTCAGAAAGTAATAAGATATACATCACGAAGTGGACAATATGAGTAATAAATGTGATAACACAGTGACCCAAAAAAACAAAACTCTTCCTACCGAAATCTTGACACTCAAAATCTATTGTCTGAAGCATTCTGCCAACTTTTACACTCTCAAATGTCGTCTTACTAGACACATTTCTTGATCTCTGCATTGACAAGATCTCGAATAGCAGTGAAACTGTTGTTCTTGAAATGAACGTACTTCTCGCCCCGTACTTCGACGATTTTAAAGTATGTCGGACAAACTTCGCAGAGTAAATTAATAATTGCTTCAATTTCCACTACAAAAAGAAGAGTATCAGCAGTGATAAAAAGCTTGATTTAAACATAATTTAAAAATTCAAATTATGAAATAAAAAGCAATTTATTAACGCCATGAAAAGCTCACAAAATTACTGTAATCAATAAAAGCGATTTTTTACAATTAAGCTGAACAAAGTTATGAGATTAACATAAATTCGCACCTTTCGAAATACAGCCAATACTGAAAGCCAATTTATCGATCAATTCCGCAAATTTCACTGATCCAATCTTTTTCAAATTGTAGTAGCTAAAATTTTCTAAATGAATGGAATGATTATAAACGTTTCTCTATTTGCTGACTCTTATCTGATTGTTTTGAAGATATACAGGAACGAATGAAATAGACAGCATCAGTCTTACATGCTAATAACGACAAACTCTTTGACGATCTTCTAGAAATGCGGTAATTGATTAAATTAGCACTTTCCTACTTTTCGCAATAACTCATTATAGTTGAACGATCACTGACTGATCACTCGACTTCATCTCTTTGAAGATAATGATAGCAGAAACATAACAGTATGTTGCAAAGTTATTCTAACAAGCTTTTGCAGAAGCAAAAAAAATCCGACAATAATCGAATAAAAATAGATCTTTCTAATCTCCTGGCAAAAATTAACCCTACTCCTTTATTTTCTCATCAATTTCAAGTGAAAAAGACTCGGGAGCAATACATATATTAAACAGACAATGCCAACTATATTAAAATTCACAAAATTTTGAAAAAGGGATATATTCAATTCACCTGCAAATGCACTGTAGCAACGAATGGGAAATCCTTTCCAACCTTCCTTTCCTTTGCTCCATTTCGGGATTTCGCATCATTTCCCGCTGCTTCCGCTCTCGCTCTTTGGCTCGAATCTTAATAATTCCCTACGATTGGTAGCAATAACAATTTTCAAACTCTATCTAGACTCTATCCCAAACATACAACGTCACAAATTTAAAAATAATATTCAACCAAAAAAAAAAAATTACAACCAAATTAAATTCAACCAAAAAAAAAATGTATACTCTTTCCAAGAGACTTGGTTTTGAAGAGTTTTTCGTTTCTACATATTTTTTCGGCGATAACGGTATGAATTTGTCAGCAACAACAGCGATTTTCTTTTCCGGACTTCTGAGTTCCTTGATCACCATCTGGAAATCATTCCAAACTAAATTATTAAAAATGGTGAACTACAATATCACCACTTTTGGAAATACTGTTATACAATTAGCAATACATATAAAAATGAACCTTAATCTTCTCAGGAAGAGTACCACTGCTATCAGGCACTGCTTTCAAATATTCCCTCATCGTTTCAGGTTGACCAGCATCACCTTTTGGCATTTCAGGTAAATTCGCAGGTATGATGTCATTTACAGCGTCAAGGTCAAAATCAGGATGATATCTTGGAAGTTGTTCATCGGGTGAAATTTCAACTGAAACAACGTTCAAAGCAAAACATAATCAATGAGCTTACGTAAAACAGCAGTATAAATGAACAGCGGAAACCAATTTAGTGTCAGAGAAAAACCAATTAATTCAAATGCAACTACAATGGACTCCGCTGCTCATAAAACGTTCGGGATATAATCTGGATAACGAAATGCTGGAAAAACATACTTCCTTCATTTTTCAAAAAAGCAGCATGCTGTATATTTACCAGCTTGCGTAAACGACTTTTGAATTCCAGTTTCCGATGTAAACGATGACTTTCTAGTTTTGGAGGGCACCTGTAGAGTAATTATACAAGATAATCTGTAACTACAGTATCAAAAATAGCACGCAATACTTTCAATTTATTGTAATTGAAATACTTGATTTATCTCTTCCAAGATTTAATGGGGCAATTATAGTACATGCCTAGTAAACACATCCGGTCCATATGGTGATTTGATCGGTGACTTCATCACAGTTCTCATAGATGGCGAGGCCATCGAACTTCGGGAAAGTGAAATTAGAGGAATTTTGCAAGGTGAGCCCAATACTGGTTTGACCGGTGAAGAGTTCGACAAAGAAGTTTCTTCCAGATTTTCTTTCGGCGGAAAAGCAAGGTCTGCAAAACAAAGAGAAACGTGATGACCCTTCTTTTCCTAGGAAATAATTTCCGCCCTATTTTCCATTTTGGTTCTCCCCGAAGATCGTAAAATTCTGAAGAATTATCATGTTCCACAATTTAAAAGAAATTACGGTACCATTAATAAGATTCGGTTCAATTACATATTCATATTCTTTGAAATTACAGTGCCTGCCACCAATCGGCATCCAACGTCGCTCACATCGAATATTATAGGATTCAGGGTATATCGACAGTATCATTGCGAATTGTTGCTCATTATAGTTGCTAAAAATAAACATCATTTAATCCAACTTCCTCGAAACTTTCTTTGAAATATTGAAACCACACGAGGATAAATTTTAAATCACTCGCCATCTTCCATTTCCCATAGCATTGTATATGTAGACCAATTAGATACCTTTTCAATTTACGTTGAACATTAGTCATCACTTCATTCAACGTAATTCGTTTTCCTTGCGTTTCTAACCATGAAACAACCTAAAACAATTAACTTGAAAATCTGGAAAATGCTTATCTACCCATCACTGATAGCATCGCCATGCAAAAACTCTCCAACTTTTTATTCGTAGCACTTCTTTTCTTACTATGCAGTGGCATAAATTCAGATTTAAAATAGCATTTAATTGTTTAAATTATATAACAATTTCTAAGTAAAAGAGAAAAAATCGAAGTCAGTCAAGCTAGCTTTGATTAAACCCTAAAAAACAGGTATCTTCTTTACTTGCTCATTCCTTCAAAATACTTTTTCCAAAAGTGACTTGCCACTTCTGTATAGTCGAACAAACGCAGTAAGCGTTCATACTTTGCAGGAAGAGGAAGTGTATCACTTAAAGTCGATTTTGCACTGCTTTTAATGCTTTCAACCAATTTTACTGCGCTTGGCAGAACGCTAAAATTTGCATCATTAAAATGTGCCAAAAATATTATATGCAAAGTTTTATAGGGTGAACAGTACATTGGAACGAAGAATGTCTGAGATCTAGCTTAAAGATAGTCTCTAAAAAAGTATTACTGTTTACGTTAAAGCAAAATGTTCCGGGCAAAGTAAAAACTTGAGCGTAATCGAACAAGTGCAGTAAGCGTTTATAGTTTGTGGAAAATGGAAGTGTATCACTTAAAGTCGATTCTACACTGTTTTTGATGCTTTGGACCAATTTTACTGCTCTTGGCAGAATGGTAAAACTTGCATCATTAAAATGTGCCAAAAATATTATGCACAAAGTTTTAAGGGTGAACAGCAATATCTGGCATGAAGAATGTCCAAGTCTAATATACAACTTAAACAGAGTCTCTAACAAAAGTATTATCGAAAAGAGACCAAAAAAACGGTGACAGATAAAGTAAAGAACCAGATGCTATGAAGTAATTAAACCGATTTTCTATTAAAAATAAAATTAACCTCAGATCAGCACTATCTGCTTTGTTCGTTTCAGTTTCAAGAGGGACTGTAATACCAACTTCCACCGTACCATGCTTAATTTTATCGTACACATCTTTCCGCTTTTCTTTCGACTCAGTTCCTGTTATTCTCTTTATTGAACACGTAGATAGTTTACCGTTCTCCACAACTTCCAAACTGGATTCATCAGCATCATTATCACTCTTATTTACCTTACCACTCTTCGGAACGACCTCTGCCTCATATGTTATTGGCAAAACCCATTTTTGGCTGTCACTTTCAGTTTTTTTCTCAGATATTTGCGGTGATTTTAAACGAGCCATCTTTTTGGGTGATTCCAGAGTATGCTTAGTAGCTTTTACCTGCAAAGAAATAAAATGGACAAATCTGATTGTTTCTAATCGACAAATCTGATTGTTCAGATGTAAACGGAGTCCATCTTGACATGCTGGAAAGGATATAATGGTAACTATGTGTAAAAGTGTGGCAGATAGTATATTCTAGAACTGCACTCAAGTGAGAAAAACAACGCAGATGAAACAATTTGGCCAAAGAAAATGCTCTGAAACACGGTCGATAGAGCCAACCAAAATAATGAAAGTTTTGTTCGCTAATATTGCAACTTATTCTGCACTGTCCGCGCTTTTGTATTCGTTTTCATGTTAAGCATCCAGCCATACTAAACATCAAGGCAGACCGTTAGTTTCTGATTTCACAGTCTGATAATCTGATTTCAAACAATATTATGTCTTATACTGAAAAAGAAATCCAAGCTTATAACCTCCTAACCTCATCATTTTCGGCAAACACCTTAAGACGTTTAAATTTTTTGACTTGATCACGGTGGATGGTCGGGAAGTACTCGACCACTTTTGTTTGACCACTCGACGCTGATGCCGCAAGCGGGCAATCTCTTTCTTCTGTTGCCCTGCCACGAATTTTTGTTCGTACTTTTCTGATTGACATTTCTGAAAGAAAAGGAAAATTCTAGCTTTACCGCAGAAATATTTAAACGAATCCTAAAAAAACACATATAGGTTCACTCCACATAAACGCTTCAAGACATTATCTGGTCAAACATTCCATGCTCGGTAATTTGTATCACTAGATATATTGCTGATACAAATTAATTTCACACAAATAAACAAAGATGACTTCTGCTTTCTTATCACTAATATTATTTTCCAGTAAGGAATTCGGGTAGGATGCACTTCGGCTATAATAATTAAGACTGTGGATTAATTGTCGCTGTTTCAAACTAAAGTGCAAACCATCAGGTAACAAACACAGAAGGGAAAAAAAGGCACAGAATAATTCGTGATCACAATCTCAATCAAAAAAATGTCTTATATTTTGAACTAAGATCACTAGAGCTAAAGATTAAAGAGAAAAACGAGAGATTATTATGTGACCTTATAGGCGCATCGACTGCTTCAACAGCGATTTTTGGCTCCAGAGAAATTATAAAGCAGTAATGAAAGAATCTCGAACCTTGCAGGAATATCTGTGAAATGCAACAGTCATTAAAACCTTTTCCTCATGATATATTAAGATGAGCAACAAAGAGGGAAACTTTCTGTCAACCTCTGCAGCACTTCAACTAAGAGCTCTCCAGCTCTTCTCCCGGCGGTGACAAAGATCGCCATCTCCCCATCCTTCTTCCGTCCAACCTCGAATTCAAATCACTTTGTTAGCCGCATCTTTCACTCAACAATCGATATCCAGACTGGTCTCGCGACGACATATTACTGTAACAGGATAAAAGAACTGGCGCGACATCTGGCTAAGTCGATCAATGAGACAAGGGAGAGGGCATGCTTTTCTGCAGGAGTATACCTAAGGGTTGGAGTAGGAGGTCAATGCAGTTGAGGGCAGAGAGGTAATGTTTAACCAGAACGAGGCCAAAAACGGATAAAGGAAGGATGAGGTAAAGGTGAGGTAAGAGTGAAGTATAAGTAAAAACGGTTCATACTCCTTTGTGGGTCTTTGACTAAGGATTGCTTGATCTTTCACTTCTTCTATGCGTGTCCTCGATTTGTCAACTTGCAATTATTATATTGGTGTATCATATTCATTAATGTCATCTTGAAAGCTGCTGCCTCTTCACAAAACGACAGGATGTGTAGTTTATCGGATGCATCTTACGCGGAAGGATAATTTGCAAGCTTTCCCCTCTTGTTTCAGAAACGAGAAAAGCGCAGTTATGGATGGGATGGACAGGTCTCAGAACAGAGGCTTGGGCTCAGAATAAAAAAACTGCCCTCAGGTCAACAGCTAATTCCGAATGGCATTTAAGCTTCCCTCACGAAATGCTAACTACCGCTAGGATCTGCAGAAGCCGAGTCTTGCACTGGTATCAGGTCAAAATCCAACGAACCATATCTACTTCGATGGTATCTTTTCTCATATTCTCAGTCAATCGCCATTACTATTGCTCCTACAGACATTTGGAGTTGACGATTAATTGATCATCCCGAACCCCAAATCAGGAAAGAAAACCTCTGACCCTGCACTCCCTTTTATTTGCCAATATCATTGGCTTTTTAGACGTCTCATAAATGACAGTGATTGTTATACGAACCCAGAAAATCGAATTTGGCCACAGACAAAGGATTAACTACGATCATCCTTACGGTATGTTCTGTCCAAAACTCTTGTCCGATAATTTCAGAAACTACGACATAGTTTTCCTGATTGTGCTCGGCAAACCAAAAGAATGCCAGTACTTGCCAACACAATTGTTAATTACTTAGCAAACAAAAAGGAAATTATTTCCAGACTCGACCATAACTTGCACCGGTAACAGCACCGATGACCATATATACAGCTCGTATAGACTAAATCTTTGTCAATTTCATTTCAAACAGCAAAGATTTTATGCATTTACAGACAAAAAACAACAAAACATCTCCATATGCTCTTACTCAGATCCAAGCAGATACTACCTGCTTCCCGCGATTTCTTGGCGAATAAAACGCAGAAATTCGCCAGCTATAGAAAAGTTTTCGGCAGATAAGACATGGAAGAGATGCGTACTTGATCAATAATTCGAATTCTGTAATGAACTGCTGCGATAAATTTTACAACCTACACCACAATGAATTCTTAAGAAAAATACATGATTTAGAACGCGTCCAATTTTCTGGATATATGTTGCTCATAGTGAAAGTCATAAAAGCATCCAAATAACAATTATTCATACCTTCATTATGGGAAAAGCTCATTTAGCCGAGCTGTGTTTGAGAAACACAATTTTCAAACCTTATTCCGCAAATAAGCGTATTTTGAAACGGCACATCTAATTCTTTCATAAACTTCAAAAATTCTAATATTCAACAAACACAATATAAAAAATAAGTAAATAAATAAATAAATATATATACATAAATCTAAATACGAAGAGCTTTTAGACGCGGACAGACCAAAAGTAGGGAGGAAACAGAGAAAGAAGACAGAAAAACAGTGTTACTGAATACACGGCTAGTTTTCTCAACAGATCAATGAAAAGATGCTTTTTACAATAATGATCAGATGAAGGATGGACATAAAATGAGATTTCCCTTGGATAAATTCTATTACTAGAATCTTCTTCAACCTTTCACTTGAGCAGCCATTACAAAATAATGTCCAAACAAGCACATCAATCCAAACAATACAATAGCTTTGTTCCATCTTCCATACATGAATAAAGAGGTCCTTATACCCTTCTTTTCCCTTGGTTCTACACGATCCTGAAAATTATGGATTTCAAGAAATCCATCTCCAGGAAGGTGCTTAGTTACTACTCCACGGCTATCCTTCTCCTGCTATTATTCCTATTACTCCTCGTATTACACAAACAAAAGGAATACTAATTGAGATGAGAGACCCGTGATAATTTCATCCTTTAATTTCTCAACTCTTTCCTCTTCCTCCTCTTTTGGACTGTCGAATTTCGCGCCCGATGGTTGATGTGTCATCATATCCGTATTACAATTCATAGGAATTGATGTACAACCATCAGCAACAACAATATCTGCATTACTGTCAGATGCAAATGTAGACGGAGCAGGAAGAATGGTAGTAGATATCTGGCGTAACAGTGATGAAGATGATGGCAACGATGATGACGGCTTGTTGATACGATTTTTATTATCATCATTTGTCATACTGCTCGTAACGGCTCGATGAATATTTGTATTACACACTGTTTCGCAAAGTACAGGAACATAAACCACCGGACGAGAATCAATTTGGGAGCGGTTCTCATTAAATTCTTTCCTTGAAAGCCATCGTAAATGTGACGAAAAACAACCATCTTCATACTGTCGACAGTCTGTCAGCAAACTGTCATTGCTTCGAGCCTGTTCGGTACATTTTTGACCATGACATCTATTACCTCGTATAGTCATCGCTGCTCCACTAGAACTTGGTCGTTCGATACCGGTTGCTGTATTAAGCCTGCTACGCCCATAAGTAGCCTGAGTAACTGGGACTCGACATGATAATGAGGAGCATGTGAAGGATGCACGCGTATCGAACGGGTTACAATTGGGTGGTGCTCGGATCCACTTCTCATTCTCCTCCTTCGGTACCAAACGTTCCTGAAATTGAAAGAGTAGTTTATGGAAAATTGTTTCGCACAGCTTGTAATAAGTTATCACATTTCCAGTTTATTTATCACACAATATGCCGAATGTGTGTATAATAGACCATAAGTCTTGCGGATTTTTTTGAAAATTTGCAAATTTTAGTCTTAAGTTTGTATTTTATACAGGTCATGTTCGTCTGCCCTTATTAATCGCCTATGTCTTCGATATGTTTATGAACTAAGATTGTTACATTACTGACTCATCGTAGACTTTGAAATCCCTTACTCATTTGTTACTCTTGCCTTCCGCCATTCTTCCCTTAGACTAATTCCAACGTTTGAGATCCAAAGCCTCACCGACAGTTCTCTCTCTTTTGTGAAGAAAAGATGTTGAACTGCAACCAATGGAGTTCGAAAAATTTTGTTTGCAAGAGAAATTTTCAGCAAGAGGAAAAACTAATGGCACATTAACGTATATCGGAGGAAATAACGTACAATGACATGTTGTATAGCTTTGCCTGTTATTCAAACTGTTTCGTTATCAGCTGAATTTACAGCTTCTATTCCCCTATCCTCTGCTTTGCCATATAAATATACAATTAAAAACGGAAAGAGGAAAGAGAAGCTCGGAAGAAATGATTGGGAAAATCGGGTGAATAATTTAATGAATAATGCTACAATATTCTTACAAGTATCAACAAGACAGGAACAGCAACCAGTTCTGTAAATAACTGTCTTCCCTCCGAAAAACATTTCATTTTTCAAACCAAAAATGATAAATCAAAGTTATCTAGGACGCCAGAAATTCGCAATATCTGATCCAAGTAAAAAGAAACAAAAGACAAAGGAAGCAAGGCAAACATTTAACGGGATAAATAATTTTCAAGCAAATAAAGACAATAAAAAGGAGAAAAAACGAAATATGAAGTTCAACTACTTTCCTATATATTTTACGTGTAACAAAATAGTTGAACTTCATATTCCTGCTTCTTATAAGAATCTCATCTGTTTCTCATTCGTCTTCATCCTGTCCGCCGACGTTGTATGAAACGCTTACGATAGAATAATGAAAACTGAAGTAATTTTTAATGTCACAAAATATATTCACTAACAATAAACATACAAAGATACTCTCAGGAAATGTAAGGGAAGCAAAATGAAGTCTTAAATTTCTAAGCAATCTATCTCGAACGAAAACTGACCTATGCATTTATTATCACGGAGTAAGAGTAACAGTCAGACGATGCCAAAGCAAATGGTAGTTTTTTTCTATTTTCCCGATTCTAACATAACAATATGAGTATGCGTATAATTTTCTCGACATTTCAGTGAACCGATTAGCATGGAATGAACCAAACATTCCTTCTCAGTACTTACACATAGAGTTCTTCACGTCCGACACATGTGGTCCCCGAAGTGCAGTCAAAATGGCAGTTGATAAAACAATTAGTTTAACCTATTTTGCGTTGCGCTATAGATTTAAATCCTTCTTAAATCTGTTGGTCTGAAAGTCAAAAATCTATTCGCTTTATCGTCTAGTTCCACTCATATTCTGCCAACAGTGAGAGATGAATCACTATACAATATTTATAACATTTCTTAACCATAAATTTTATACATTTTCTTTAATAATAAAGCGATTTTTTCCCTTCATCAACAAATCACAGGTGGAAGAATGGATTAAAAGTGCAGGAAATATATAGAAAAAGATGAGGGACAATTACAGATCCTCTTGCCGCATTTTTATGAAAGATTCACCCTATTTTCTTCTTTCTCACTTCCAGTATTTATAGCGAGATGTCTGGACATCTTTTTTTTGGCCACAAACGAGAAAATTTCCAGACCATCTATTGTTCACCAGACGATAAGAAATAAATGCTGCTCCACTTTTAAAATCCATCCTACTCCTTTTGGCATGACTTCACTGAAAAAGTACTACCTAGTGGAATTTGAACAAAGAATGCATGAATGAAATGGCTTGATACTTGACATAACTTTTCCCAAGAGATCCACGTGCAAATAAGCTGACGTATGGTATGATAGCATCATTAATCTGAGATGAATGCTGAATAAACGATGGAAATCACTTTGATGTAGAATTACTTTTGTGAGAGACGAAAATGTTTGATGGTTTTTATGCGTGCGCGATGAATGTGAAAGGTTGCAAAAGCGAATAGATGAGGAAAGTAGACACAACATTACTGCTCTCAACTATCATAGCAGTACTGAACGACGTTTATGACTTAGTGAATCGATTCAGCTAAAGAAATCTGTTCGAACTCCTCCGTGATCTATCCATAAAACACTTATTAAAAAAAAGTTTCGGCCATAATATAAAGCTTACTTCTACAAATCGTTCCCCTACATCTCTTAAGATATGCGCTCTATTCAACATAATTTTCAGTTATCCATTTAAAAAAAGAATATCAGCTAGCTTAATTCTTGTTATCGATTTTAAGATGGTTCTCACTCTCAAAAATTTTGTTTCAAAGTTGAAAATTTCCGATTTTCCAACATTCGTGAGAAAACAACAAATGAGCCAATTACTTGAAGAAAATTAGTTTTTTCTTATTAGGACAAAAAAAAGCATTTCTCGGCTCATCGATTCCAAACGAATTATTGCAACGGTATGACTGCTAAAGATGAAAAAGGTGAAAGCAAGCTCATTCCTTACTTATGATTGAAACAGATGGTTCCGTATACTTCCCACGGTACTGGAAAGTTTTACTTTTTGTATTTGAATAGATCCTTAGCACAATATCATCACTGAAAACATCCTATGCATCATAATAAAAGTTTACCATACCATGCGGAGATGACTGTTTTCACCATCGGCCAAGTAAACAGCTGCCGGATAACTGGTTTGCTGGAAAAGACTGTAGGACGCTGAAGAAGTTGCTGGTTTCTGCTTTTGCAAATGGTGCAAATATTCGCCATCATTTGAGTTAGGTGAAGCATTGCACTAATAAAATAACGTTATTTTTATGGGAGATTTTACCAACTGTTGCACAGTGATGCCACCAGTATTGTAGCAAGATCCAGAAATGCCAGAATTTAGAAGTATCTTACTAATCAGAAGTAAAGTACTTACCTGCACGGATGATGTGGAAGCTGTAATTGACAGAGTTGTGGCAGAATACGGATCCGTTTGAACAGTATTCTGCTGGGAATTCTGTCGAGAATGGAATGAAATGACAGATGACAAATCAGTGTTGTTGGCAGTAGTGATGTTGCTAGTGGTAGTTAGAAACCGAGTTGCTGCACATCCCGCTCCACTACTTAAACTTAGTCGATTGACAAAAGAACTCAACTTTGCCCTATAATAAGTGAAGAGATCAACAATGAATAAACAAAAAGAAACAGTAATTGCACAAAAATTTTCCAACCCATCAAGAACCTCCGATATTCAAGAATTAGGGAGCAAATATTACAAAAAGCCTCCAACAAAATTAGGCTGAGAAAATACTCAGTGGTATTGGAAGGGAGAGCGGCAGTGGGATAATACCAACGCATGGAACATTGCATTCTTCGGGGGTTCAAGTAGGTCGAGAATGAATTTTAGCATGTTTACTAATACATCTTCCATAAACAAGTTTTGATTGAATGAAGTAGTTTGATGGACGGTGTCGTAGGTCTTCTCTATAAAAATGAGCTGTCTTTATGCATAAAAACAAGTTACTGCACGGAATATTGCAGATAAATTTGAACTACATATTTGCTTTAATTAATCTATGATCTGCATCCATCAATTTCAAAGATATTTTGAGTAAATGATGTGCTCTGAAGAAACTAACTGCTGGCCACTGTCTGTTACCATGCCAGTTCTTAAAGCCTACCCAATAAATCCGCCAATACCTTGGCAGTGATCGGAACGAAGTCCATCCCACAGAGGTGTAGCCAATTTGATCGAAAGGATGACAAAACCCGCCGAGTCACACTTTGTCTTACACTTGCAAATTGTGACCGGATGCATAGAGAGATAAGGAGTAACTGACGAAGTGACTAACCTCGCGAATGCAAAAATTGAATTTCGCTGTCGTTGCGACAATTTTTCCAGCTTTTGCTTACTACGCGTAACTGTAGGACTGCAACAGTCGCGCCTGATTTCTCCCGCAGACTCTTTCTTTGAGCCGCTAGAGGAAATCTCCTTCCGATGAAATTGCCGTTGTTGAAAATTACGTTGAAACGATACAGGAGTAGTTGAGTGCTGTTGCTGCCGCTCGTACTTGTGCAAGTCGGATCGACTATAACGATCAGGGCAACAGGCTGCAGCTTGCGGCTCATCCAGTCTGCTCCGTCGCCTCCCTTTTCTAACTACTCGTTTACTTCTTCCTCTATTCTCCCTGCTTGTTGGTACGGTGATACGACGTGACGTCTGTCTCTTCCGCAAACCACCTCTATCCCTTCAAATGTAAACATTCTCAGAGATTCATAACCACACGCCTATATACCTATATATAGATATTGCTTGCATAGCACTTATATGGATAAACATAAGCAGAAAAACTGCTTCACTGCTTATTCTCAGAATGCTCCGTACATGTGCACAGCTATACTACATGCATTCATAAGCAGTATTGCACGCACCACTGTAATCCCCGCGAGTCGATCTCGCGACCCTTTGACCTCACCCCATCCCCCCAGGTGGGAAGAGCACCAGCCTCAAAAGACGGCACCGTCCATTGTCTGTCTGCTGAATTCAAATTCTCTCCCCCCGCATCTCTGTTAAGTGAAACCTTGTCCGTCAGGTGGTATGTAGTCTATCTGTATATATCTCTGCTGTGTCACCTTGCTCATTCTAGTCTCATGTCGCCCTTGACAACGAAATGTCTGCTGTCTGCCCCTCTTTTTTATCTCCATTTGACCAAAGTGTTTCTGTGTCTAGTCCACACCAAAACTGCGCATACATGTCATTCCTATTCCCTTCCATTTGCAATGTCTCGACACTCTTGCTCATTCGCACACTTGCACTTCTCTATTGCTTTCCTTCCACCCAAACAAGTAGTGACGAGAACCATTGTAATTAACAAGTGTTTCTCTCTTCCTTCTTTCTCTGCGTACTCTTTAAGCAACACGTTGGAAATATGGAGACGTACGCATGCATGCAGGAAGCCGTACTACATGGTCTTAGGTCCTTCCCTCCGGTAAATGATTTGGATGGGCCATGACGGTACATTTCCAAGGGAAGTTCCCGATACCTGCTCAGCATTCGTAGGTCTGGTTAACAGTTTTGCAGTGGTTAACAGTTTGGCCTGTAAGCGCTTGATCCCCTTCCTCATCACCCTCATAGGACTTGGATAGACGGATTTAGCATCCATATCTTTGTAGTGACAGACCTACAGCAGATACCGTTGCTGTCAGTATTACAGTCATACTTTACCTTCCCTTACCTTATCACTAAACATAGCCAGTTTCGAATTACCTTAACGGTGAAACGACCGCACTTCCAACAAACAGTGCATCTCTTTGACATTGTCTGCCGAGGAACCATTCTGTAATTTGAACATTTCATAATTCGTTTTCATCCTTCATTTTCAAAAATGCTGGGTATGTATATGATTTGTCGTGCAAATGTGGTAAGGGAATTATACCAGAATGAAGGACAACCGCGTAACATGACATCACATTTATCCTCCATGATTATGATGGCGATCGCGGTTATCCAAATCCTCATTCTGGCAGTGATAAGGAAATGAGAGAGATCATTTCACTGACACCACGTGTGACATCTATGAAATGGGTGGTGAATGTGAAAGCTTCTCGGATATCTGAAATAATTCTCGGTGAAGACAATGAACCGAGGGAATATGGGTAGTGACTATAGTGATTAGGATGGCGATCGTTATGACCAAATTAGTGACGTCTCACCATATCTGGTTTGCTTTCGAAAATAATAAAAAATTTTAATTTTTTTAATAAATAATTTATAAAATTAAAACAACTGATGAATTGATTCATTTAAATGGAGATAGAGTAGCTTCCTTGGTTCCTCCACCACTCTCTTGGTTGCTTCTCTGCTATATTTAACACCTTGATGTACGCCGACTTTGGTCACAGGTTGTAACAGAAGTGCCGATGAGCGAACTAATCTCTAAAGATGTCGGATTACCGAAATTAAAGCTATGTTCAAACAAAATTTCCACACTATCCAACAGACGGAGGGACGAAATCTTGCGAGTAAAATTAAAGCAATGAAGAGGATATAAGCTAACAATGGACAGCATAAAACAAAAACGTCTCAGTGTCTACACAATGGGCAATCCCAAAGACTAGCCTCAGCTCCATGATAGCCCGATGGAGTTTAGAAAACTCCCTGTTCTTTATATATATGAAAAAATCCGAAACAGTTTAGTTTATGATAATCAAGCAAACTACGACACTCTTCGCATCCATTGAGTAACAGGCTACAATATTCCTTCTTTTCGCTAAAAATATTTGCTGCAACATATCCTCGGTTCAACGAAGGACGAATTCTTATATCTCATTCATTACGCAACCTACAGTCAATTATTATCGAAGCCAACGACAAGGAATTTGTTTGTTGATCTTATTGCTTGTTTATTGTATAACTCATCACTGCTTACCAATTGACCGCATATATATGTTTATATATAACACCCTTTTTGTTGTTAATTAGTAGTATTGTGCAAGAACAATATTACATCCCAAATAAATCTATATCGCTAGAAAACGAAGTCAACAAATTAGCTTTCCCGACAAAAGACGCTGTATAGATTATCCGCTGAGGATCAGGATTGGCGATAATTATTGATTTTCACGCATAATCATTTACCATTGAGCTCCGCAAAAAAATATGACGCATTTCTATTGCAATTCTTCGCATATTGCAGAAATAGAGCAGATTTCTGCAATCTGCATGGATATACTTGACCATGGCCTAGTCCATCACCAGCTCTTTCTATTCCTATCTATTTCTTCGACAATGGTTCTACTGCAGAATGCATTACTCATCATTGTTGTTAGATGAAGCTGTGCTATTCATTAAAATATCTAGCATCTCATACTTAAATCATTTTAAATCAACGTATCAGCTAACGATTCCCATTATGATTAAATTTAAATCACTAACTATTCCTGCTACATTTGCTATTATATCAGATCATTATGCCTTGTGACGTGCTTAATTCATCATAAATGCAATTTCCAAAATTTAACACGGAAAAACTGTTGCATAAATTAGGGTTTGACCAGTTATCGAATAGTGATACTTTACTTTTTCAGTCTATGACAAATATTTCGTGACAATATATTGGTGGAAATGACTTGCTAGTTTAGATGTAATTAGACGTAGAGATTCCAAACATGTCGTGATACTTTCCTGTAAATTCAAGCACTCTCAAAACTGTGATAATGGAATGATTGTAGGATTTCTATTACAACAACGACTTATTAGAATGAACGATTCACAAATATTAGTCTTTTGAATCCCATAAAGTATGTTAACGGCGAGCTCGACGGAACCAAAACTAAACATGAATCAAATTTATAAAACAAGATGAATGTTGAGCAAATTCTGCAAATTCTTAAATTCTGCTCGTTTAGGGACGACTGCTTTTCGGCGGGATAAACTTTGTAATCACCAAATTTAGCCCTTCCATAACTACAAATTATTTGGAACTTTGCAAATTAGTCGTCCATTTCCTTCTCTTATTTCAACTTAAATTTTAATTTCTTGGTCGTTTTTTGGCAGTAGTTCTGTATTGTGTAAGTCGGTGCTTGCACTAACTTTACGACATCACAATACCAGGAGTTTGCATTATAGCAACAGTGATCTTTTAAGCTTTGTTACAAACCAAGCACGCAAATTGAAAGTCTTCAGATTAAAAGTTGAGAGCAGACTGTCTTTTTCCGACGATTATTGTGCAATGAAATATGATGCGTAAATGCGATTACAATGCTTACGATGTGAAATATGCTACCATTTCCTTAATTAAAATGCTCAATTCTTCATCAGTTCAATATAGAATACTTTTTATTATTTCAATTACTGCAATTAAAATTCTTGTTATGATTTCATTCAAATAATCCTACCTGTTTTAGTGTACCCTTCAAGCCATTATTATAATTATAACGGTCATGTGTACTTGTAGAATCCATGAAAAATGAGATGTCACTTCCGAGATTGGTTGTGGTAGAAGATTTAAATCCTCATTGGTCAGTCATTCGTCTGTTCAAGCTTTCGATAATTTTCATGTATCATAACGTATACAGGAATTTGAAATTAAACCTCAAATATATATAAATATCATTTTTAAATAGAAATCAACGATATTGACAGAAATTAATGATATAAATCTTCCGAAAGAGAAATTATCCTCAGTCTTATGAAAAGACTGCTAGAAGGGAAAACTAGAAAGAAATCGAGTTGCGAAATGTCTGACCTATTCTTCTTCAGTATACCCATCCTTTCATGCAATAGTGAGTCTTAATTGTAGAGAAAATTAGAAGCTCAATAAGGCAGCACCGTGATACTGCGTGACATACGCAGAGATGTATTGTCATTAATGACACCAGTTCATTACGGTCATGAGACAGTGGTATTTCCAGCTTCGATAGGAATCTTAATTTCATGACATTGTCGCAAAGATCTGTTAAAAGTCTTTAAACACAAATAATAATGGGATGGTTTCGATGTTGAATCTCATTAAAAGTATTTTAATATTTTCTGCCAATGAAGCCGAAAAAATGTTCTGAGTTGTTTTAATTAGAATTCAGACAAATGATTCGTCATACAAAATTAATAAAATAAAAATTTCGATACCTAGAGTGATGGATCATTTATGCAGATCCAACTCTTCTAGTTTTTCAACCAATCTTAATTGCAATCTTTAAATGTTGCAGATAAAGTCCTTTATTGTGAATTTTTTCCAATCTGTCAATTAAGCTTACATGCAATTGTCACAGTGTTGTAAAGAACTTATGTGCAAATCTCAGAATTTTGTAAAGAACCTCTAGTCTGGTAATTAAACTAACGTGTCTGGAATGCTAAACTAATCCAACTATAAAATGAATTAGGATCAATCATTCAGACGAATAATTTACAAAATCCAAAAAGCTCGAGCAGTCACTCAATTTGACAGCAACGTTTAACGGCAGAGAAGCGACATTACGACAGTTTAACAGTACAAGCGATAAGACCGTTTGGTATTGTTTAATACTTACTATGTATTGTTCATTTCGCCCCTATTACTGTTTCAGTTCGATATTGTGTCATATCGTATAACACCAATAAAGGTTATTATCAATGCTGCGAAGTTACAACAAAAACTACAAAATCTTTCCCCGACATTTTCTGATATAAAATATCTTGTTCCATAACACCATCGTTAGATTTTCTCATCGTTGCCAACGAACATCCAATTGACCTTACTTTTCATCCAATTGATGTCTGTTTAATCAGTTCGTCTAATAATGATTCCATTTAATACTTTCAATTGACTGGTCGTTGTGCTTACCACAGATTTGCACTTTTTCATTAAAATAATGGTTGGTTTTGGAAGAATATTTTGAAAATTGAAATCTGAAATGCTGTAGTGAATTGTCGTTCACGGACAAAGATGATCAACAGCTATAGTCATGCTTGTTGCAGACGCTCTGATGTTTAAGAAGACCAATGCTGGATGGGAATGTTCAGTTGCAAAAGGCAAAGCGAAAAGTCATTTCAGGCATTATTGATGAGGTACGGTTTTACAGCATTGTCTTTTGTCCTCGAGATTGATTCTGCACGCGTTTTCACCATACATTGCAATCTTAGGAAGGGGGTGATCCTCCATCCTGGAGACATGGCCAGCCCAACGTAACAGCGTCCTTAGCAGTACTATCTAAAGTACTGATCATCCCTGCTTGTATAAGAACAGTAACATTAATCGCATAGTCTGATCAGATGTTCCTAAACATTAGAATACAAGAATCGCTAACAATTAAGGATTCAAATTCACGGAAGTATTTAGCTAGAAGGCAATAAGTGTAGCATCCATTATTGGCTATAATAACACTTTTGTATTGCAAATAATGACGGATTGAATAATACAGAACTGTAATACAAATACTACAGCTCTCTAGTATTTCTAGTAAATATTACTCTAGTATTTTCTGATTGATGAAACACGGTTTTCTGACATTGTAAATGCTGACAACAACTTGTTTTAATCCACAGATCATTTCAGTTAAAGCATTTTAGATAACAAAGAAATGCGAAATTGAAATCGTAGATGAGTGAGCAACGTGGACGTTTGTATTGCTAATGATAAGCCTAATTCCTGTCGCATCTTTTATAGGAAGGTGAAGCCTCACTAGATATTTCGAACATAATGGTATTGCCAAACATAGCTGGCATGATCGGATTCCATAATCTTTCTTTGATGTTATCACGTAGCAGTTCAGCTTATTCATTGTTTCTTTGACGTAACTCTCAGATCAGCTCTTCATGACACGTATATATGATTTGTACCACTGCTTTAAACTGTTCTAAGCATCATTCTTTTATTCTGTCAATACTTTTTGAAGTAGATCTATGTTCTATTCTGTTATTCGCAAGAAGGATCTCTCCTACTAAAATAATCTTTTGCGATTAATTCGATGCCATTACTATGTAGCACAGCATTCACTAGTTGGAAACTTCATATTTAAACAATTTTGTTACGATTGAAAAAATTAGCACAAATATGAAAAAAAAAAGTGCGACAAGTTTATACCAAGTTGTGCTCGAGTATCAACACTGCGATGCACTCCAGTACCGACGTATACCAGTTCAGCACTAGGTATATACCAATTGGAACTTCGAGACTGCTACAATCAAGAACTTTGGAGTTCACTTCAGCATTAATCAGTATTCTGAAACAGTTTTCTCCAAATGTGGAAGAAATTCATGTTCCAATTTCGTTATGTAATTCTAATAAATCGAAGAAAAAAAAGAATCATATTTGATTCATTTCAATTTCACTTTGATTTCATTTACTACTCGCAACAATTTCTCATGCAAATATTGCATCACTTTGTTTGATTTGCTTAGCTCGAAATTCATGATATCTTCGTAGCGCTTCCTCACAATTTTTCTATCTATTCGTTTTCTATTTGTCATTTTGAAGCATTTTTTCCGTACCTCGGTTAGAATTCGATTCACATATTCTCACATCTTTTAGAAAAATATTTTCACATGTATTGATGGTCGAATTGATATCATTTGAAAGTAGTTCACCTGAAATTTGCTATTATTTCATAATTCAATCTCCATGTACAAAACGCTTACTGTGATCTCACAATTACTGTGATCTTCCTCACAATTTTTCTATCTATTCGTTTTCTATTTGTCATTTTAAATTTGTCATTTTCTATTTGTCATTTTAAAGTTTATAAGATTTCAAGTTTATTTAGCATCCCGAGCCCAAATTTAGTTAAGGAGACTCGATATTTTAAAGAGAAAAGAACTTGCAATATCTCGCAAAATGGAACTTGAAATCTCATAAACTTTTTCTCAATGATAATCAATGAGAACGATATACTGAGGGAAAAAAATATATTGAATTCCGCATTTTTATCTAAAATTTAAATAGATAAATGTAAAGGAAAATAAAGATGAATAGTAGCAATCTTTATTACATCTAAGAATTATTCTTCTTATGATAAGAATTGAAATTTGCTAAAATGTCCTTTTTGTCTCACCTTTTATGAAAGGACAGCAACAGATCTTGTTAATGTAAAGCAAGCGAAGCATATTTTGATGATCATTTTAATTATTTTAGCATTTCAGTGAAATGCTCTTCTAATATTTTATAACAAAACCTCTTCTTCAAGGGAAAACCTAATGCTTGCCCCGAAGAAGAGAGATTTTGACATAGAACAGTGGAAAAGCGTTCTATTGAAATGTTAAAGTGGTCATCAAAGTGTTGTGGTTTTCCAATACCAAACTCTTATAATTATCACACAATATTTTGAATTCAGGAACTTCCCTGAAAAAAAGTTATTAGAAAAATTTAATAGCTCTATATAACGTCCTCCTGATACTTTTACAGGTACGCGACATGCACTTGTGGTTTTACAAAAAAACAAGAGAAAATTGAAAATATTTTGTCGTGATCACATCCTCTGCGACTGAATGAATGAGAAATTTGGCTGACCGTTATCAGAGAACAGCGAACTAGTTACCTATCCCTTCCCCTAAACCAATCATTAAAATTAGATATTTCTCAAGAATAATCTTTCTTTTTGTTTAATGAGGAACTATAAGTTTATCGGATCCATGTCCAATGGCATCGACATTCGACACTGCTGATTTGAATAACGTGAAATCTGAATGACTGGAACGAATGTTCCAACTGTAGTACGAACTCTCGAGATCCTCTGAATATTGACAAATACTTTTGGGTACTTGCATCGTTCCCTCATCTCTCAAAAGGAAAATTTCGGTCAGAGTAACCAACAAACAATAATCACATCTTGAGATCAGTAACTTCTTCCTTCTTACATGGACCCGTTAGCAAGTCTACACTTTGACCAGAACGTGTCAATCTTGTTGGGAACGATAATATCAGTCAGGAAGATGTAAGTCAAAAGAAAACTTCCTTTTAAAATATGCCGCTTCCTCTTCTCATGATTTTATCAGTTCTACTAAATTTCTTGAAAATTTCATCAAAGAATTTTCAAAAAGGGAATTAACTTTTTCCTTTTTAATCAAACAGTGCTACAAAAGGTAAGAGATTTTCCCGATTTTTGTTGTTCACATCTCTCCAAAAACAAATTTTCTCTTTTCTTCTCATCTGAAGAAAAATTTCTCTTCGTTGCCTTTTTCAGTTCTTCTGTTAAAGAAAGTACACCAAACCATCTGCGACTTAAACAGAGCACTTTCAGAATGAATGGTAACACAAGCTAACCTCAGTGAAGGCATGCTTGTTGATTAGTTTTGCAACTTCTCTAAGGACGAATGATCCATACTTGGATAAGGTTGCTAGTTCAGGTTGTACTCGAAATCGTTGTGGTCCGGAAGACCGTTCAGTAGTGAAGAAAGAAGCCATGGAACACAAATTGCCGCAATCACCACTTCCAATTGCATGTTCTGTTCCATTTTTGTGACCTCAATTCCATGCACTGGATTTCATAATATTTCTCTTTATTCTTCACCTTTGACAACCTTTCTTCTCCGCTAACCTAATTTTCTGGATAAGTTATGAATTCTCCACCATTATATGTATTTGCGTTGTAGCATGCATATCGATGAATATGGAATCTAGTAATCCATCTTGCGTATCTGAATAGTAATGAAATAAAGTCTTCATCACTATATTCTGCTGATGTATAACACTGATATACGAAATCTTGTCCTTAACAAAAAACACTCCTGTACAATGCAATGCTAATAATATAATAATATGGCATTACAAATACTGCCTATAATAATATTTGTAAAGTAAATTTAAACAACATTAAGGCATACGATCCGCACATCTTCCCAATACAACACTGTGAAATCAAAAGTAAAAAGTCCACACAAAAACAAATAATTAAAAATACCACATTGCTCGACTCCGGCTCATTTCTATCCCAGACATATCAAAGCTATAACTGTACTACCATGGCATTACTTTTTTTTTGAAAATACTGCATGAAGAAAACTCCGTATTTTCTAAATTTTTGGTTAAATAAACATGAAAAAGAAATAAATAGGGCAAAAGTTGTCATTTCTGCACAATATTTCTGAGGTCAGGCACTTCTGTGAAGATACACCCATTAGCCGTATCAGCTAATTTTAGCAAATTCAACATGTGCTTCCTGCTTGTAACATCCAAACCCATAAATTTTACCAAATCATAATCATTTATCACCGAACAGAGCATTTCATTCAATCCTTTATACTTTTTGAGTATTGGAGACTCCTGAAAATCCTTTGTGTCGGAACAAGTAACCTTTGTAATTCTCTGTTAACGCTTTGGAAAGTAATCTACACATAAAATGGGGCTAAACACCCCATGCACTATCATTTAGAAATGTTTTTAAATGAGCCAGCTAAAATATGTTATCTTTACAAATGAATACCCACGTCAAGTAATTCGACCAATCGTAATGGATCCGGAAGTTGTTCAAAAAACTCGAATTTATACGGCAAGTTGTTATCTTCCAACAGGTCCTGCTTCGATAACACATTGATCTGGGCACATTCCAAGTTTATCATAATGGAAAGTGCGCTTAACAAAACCGAGATGAATTTACCTGCATCCGAACAATATAAACTATCACTGAGATGCACAGCAACCAGACGGAGACCCCATTTTTCCATCTAAAAGTTGCACTGTTCAAACAAGTATGTTCCGCTTATTATTACAGACTCCACTTTTACATATAATGGTGAGTTCTCATTATTAAGCTTGGGAATAAATAAGCTCATATATATATAAAAGCAAACAATTATCTAGGCAGCAACCCCACAAATTCGATTGTTGAACCATGAATAATCCTGGTAATGCTGAACGAAGCTCAAAAATTATGACTACAAGATTCTATCTTAACGGTTCAACGTTAAATGTACCTTCTAAAATTAATTGTCAATATTTCGATGCTAAGACTGCTTCACAGAAGCAAGTAGAATGAAAGTACAAAGTGACCGAAGCATGACTAAAGGTACAACTGAGGAAGAAGGTATTAAAAAGAAACGCTTATTTTACGCTGTTGATAATAGATGTGATACAGTCGTCACTGTTGTAGAGCTCAAGCTGTCCTGGAAAATCGAAAAGCAAATATCCATCTAGGCGTGACAATTTTAATCGTAACCATTCCATATTCCTCTTCAAAGTCTGCATACAGTACCTAAAAAATATAGACTAAAAGCAAGACTCTACTTACTAAAAAGTTGAACTATGCCCATACCACGTGTTTCGAAAACACTGTGAGACAATCAAGAAGTCATTTGCATGCTTTGTGGATTACCGAAATTAAAGTTATGTTCAAATAAAATTTCCACAACTTTTAACAGACAGGGCGATGAAACCTTGTAAGTAAAATCAAAGCAATGAAGAGGATATAAGCTAACAATGGACAGCATAACACAAAGGCATCTTATCCGTAGTTGCACAATGGAATATGCCAAAGGGCAACTGTACCTCCATGACAACCCTGATGGCGCTTACAAAACTCCTATCTAATCCTCATGTATATATATATATATATATATATATATATATAGAAGGA